TCGCTCTCCTCTGGCAGTGTCACTATTAGATGCCAGTAGTTCACTCTTTAGTGACAGATGGCACCTAAGTGCAGAAAACAAATGTAGTAAAGGTTTCCTTAAGTTTTTGAATATGTAACTTCATTTACTTGCGATTCATAATTTTTTTCCTAAACTGCTGTAAAATCAGCAAAAACGCCTTGGCAATTTTAGCATAGTTCCTAGGATATTGGTTGGCACTCAAAGGGTTAATCCTCACCCCAGGGTATTTTTCCACTGATTTTGAGAGAGTGGCCAGGAGGGAGCGGGAGAAAGTGAGAGAGACAATGATGTGAGAGACACTGATTGGGTGTCTCCCGCACACACCCTAACCAGGGCCAGGAATCGAACCTACAACCCAGGTTCAGGCCCTGGACCAGAAACAGGACCGACCACCCTGGGGTGCACAGGCTGGTCTCTAACCACTGAGCCGTTGGCCAGGGCTGAAGTCACAGAAGTAACAGGCGCTGGTCTAGGCCAAGCTTCCAATACTCAGGTGAGTTGGCAGGTCCCGGGGCTGGTGACCTGGGGCCATAACCAGGGGATCTTCTTCCCACTTCTAATATGGAAATTCTCAGAAATTCACCGACGGAGACCGAGCAGTAAGTGCCGAACACCCACTGCCGAGCACCCAGCTGTCTCCCGCCCCCTCTAGCTTGAATAACACCCACCTCGCAAATCACAGAACCCGCCTGTGACATCGCAGCGTGGACGCCCCTCGGGTCAGAACAGGACGGAGCACAAAGACTAAACACAACACGACTAGCAGGAAGCCCTCGTCACCACTGAGACCCAGCCCTGCACCCCAGGCACCTCACCATCCACTAGATGGACAGGGATGTGTACCTTGTTCAGACTGAAATCCTGGCCACGCGCAGGGCGGCTGCAACAGGCAGCAGCTCAAGCGGCAGAAGCCGGCGTGGCTTCCACGCAGCGGCATCCGCCGGGCTGCGATCCTCGACTGAGTCAAAGGCTTTTGTAAAAACGTACCCAACCCAACCCAAGTGCACGCCTACGTTTCTTACAAAGAGGAATTCATCCTGACAGAATAGTGTCAAACGCACAAAACTGGGGTT